AACTGAGATCTAAAAGTCAAGATTAAGAAACTGAGATCTAAAAGTCAAGATTAAGAAACTGAGATCTAAAAGTCAAGATTAAGAAACTGAGATCTAAAAGTCAAGATTAAGAAACTGAGATCTAAAAGTCAAGATTAAGAAACTGAGATCTAAAAGTCAAGATTAAGAAACTGAGATCTAAAAGTCAAGATTCAGAAACTTAGATTTAAAAGTCAAGATTAAACCAGAAAATTGAACATTAACAGACTTAAAAGGATTTAAGCACGACCTACATTATAAAATCTAAATAAAAGGTTTAAGACTCAAGCCGGTCTTAGGATTAGCGTGCACAATTTTGATAGAATGGACTTGAATCATGAGACTAAATACATTTATGTGATCCTAGAACCCTAAAAAAATTTAAGCGGAAAACTGCGACAAAATATATGTAAGATTTTATTCTTATGAGGTCATAATTCATTTTAACTTTATTGTATTTATCCTCGCTCCTTAATAATGTTTATATTAATAATGTTCACGGTTTAGATGTTGTTAGGTAAATATATATTAAAGCTCTTCATAAATAAATGTTTGCTGGCCGCTTGACCTATATTTTTGTTATGGGATGCTATGGGTACTCCGTGTTAGTGTTGGGTACTGGATTTAGTTCGCGATAGCTGGCCAAACAGCTAGCTTGACCTATTCTTTTTATGGGAAGCTATGGGTACTCCGTGTTAGTGTTGGGTACTGGATTTAGTTCCTGACATATGAATTTGATGATTTTGGACTTTTTTTCTAAATATTTTCTTTTCTCGTCCTATCTATAACATTTAAACCCTCGGATATGTTCTTAAACGGACTAAAAAAATGTAAACAAATTATTGTTTATTGGGTCCGTTCATGCAATTATCTTCTCTTAGGGTTAACATTATTGTTTATTGGGTCCGTTCATGCAATTATCTTCTCTTAGGGTTAACATTATTGTTTATTGGGTCCGTTCATCCTATTATCTTCTCTTAGGGTTAACATTTTACATACGATTATATTAATGTAATAAAGAAGACTGTCAATTTTAAATTTTGATTCATATCAAGCTTTTAAACAGGATGGATACACAAAAATGGAAACAAAGAGAAGCTGTCAATTTAAACAGCATGTTAACAATTACAACTTAAATAAAAAGTCGTCTTCATAATATTAATATAATCGCCTACCACTGTAGTGTAAGAAAAGCAGATGAATAAAAACCAGTTTAAAAGGAATTGAGTTTTTGCCACAAACTAAAATAATCTGATTCCAATATCTTTGCAACCTTATGGTGCAAACCTTTGATATTTCAAACTTAGGTTATTTTATTTATAAGTATTAATAGTTTGAAATATCTAAGGTCTACGGCATTGTGTTGCAAAGATATAGAGATTAGAAAATCAGAGTTTGTGGCAAAAACTCAACTCCTTTGTAAAACTTTTAAAATTTTTTGGAACCTTTCATGATTCCTTAAACCTTAAACCTATCGATTGGGGGGGGGGGTCACCCCTCCTGTGTTCTCTAAATAACTTAAAACGGCTGACATAAGAACGCTTCTTCACTTTTTCAACTTCTTTAACTGTGAACAAATTAAATGCAATGAAGGGTGGAAACGGAGGAGCAGGCCTTTAAAAGTTGGACTGGGACATGTATCACACTCCCCTATCTCATCTCTATGGGCAAAATCTCAGAGGGGGGGGGGACACCAGGTAAAAACCAGGAGTAACTTTGACTATGGAAAATAACATAAACCGGGGCATTGCCGGGCACTCCTTCTAGAAAGATATTTGTTTAGATGTGAAAAAAAGTTTTTAATTCCTTTTGACGAATGAAACATGATTTAGAAAGTAATAAAAAAATAATTTTTTTTTCTTTTATCATAAGAGTACGAATTAAATTTGTTTATTTTTAGAGTAATTCAATGGAATTTTTTTCACAAAGTAAAAATGCTAAGTATTTTCCTTTTTGGGATTTTCAAAATGATATTTTTAATTATCTTTTTATAATTAAATCTTCTTTTCCTTTAGTTGACTTTTGTTATTTTGAGAGAGTGGTGTGAGAATACTATTGTTTAATTACTTTTAAATGGTTCATGTTCTTTATCAGTTTTGTAAGATTTCTATAATCTTCGGTTCATGTTAATCAAAACATTTTGCGAATTATTTTTGCAAAAATCAATTTTTGTTTAAATCATTTGAGGCTTTTCTTCAAATTCAGCAGAATGTTAAGAAAATAAATATTTCATCATATTTTTGGTGGTTCGTAATTACAAGCAAAAAGGTAGGGGAGCAAAAAATTATGATTTATTTTGTGACACACTGTAATCTGTGTTATGGTGCACTGGGTTTGATAATGAGTTGAATATGATACTATGACCTCATATCCGTTCATTGTAACTCGAAATAAAACCATTTTTATACAAAAGTAGAATAATTTCAATTGCAAAACTAAAGTACGGAAAGGGACGGCAAACAATATTTCAAGCAATCCTCCATTTGTAGAGAGTGTCCGATTCCAAACGGTACCCAATCGGGCCCAAACTGTGTGGGACCTCACATGACCCCAGGGAAGGTTTATGGATGAAAAATATTTTAAAAACTACCCTCCAACAAAATTCGATTTTTATAAATTTTGAAAATCAGCTAATTTTTATATAAAATCTACGAACTTTTTTGTTTGTTTTTGTTTTACAGCAATTTATACAATTAAAAATTTTTTACAAGTGAAATAGAAAATTGGCGCGAAGCGACCTGAAAGACTTGTGTTTATAACATGGCGAATAAAGATTTACAACTCTTCTCACAATTCTCCTTAAAAGTTCAAGTTCTTAGTGGCTGAAAAATTAAATATTGGGAAGGAGAAACAACTTTTCCGCACTTCACCGAGTGAAATCCTTCAATTTCAAGTTTTCACCCTGGATATTCAGATTTCTACTTCAAATAAAAAGTTTTTAAATTCATTATTTTTTTCCGATATCACGGTTGGACTAGGGTCAATTTGAGCCGGCCCAACTCAACCCCTTGTCGACCGGCATTAGTGACGCGTGGCACTGGCATGTACCAGCTCTTTGATGGCGCGGCTAGACTTTTTATAGTACCCGGCCTATGACCTACCCCAATAGCTTTATAGTTTAGTGTACAGTACAGCCAACTGAGCACAAATAGTCGCTGAACTTTACAGCTATTGAAAAGTTTTACCCTTCATAAATCCTTTTGCGTCTAGTAAGTTTTTATACTCTGCGGATTTAGTCAAATCTGACGGACTGTAATTTATCTTGGTATAGTTATTTAAATATATATTCAGTAAAGCGTATTTATTTATCAATTTATCAGGCTTTATGCTTCTTTCTGAACATTTTAGAGAAACTTAAACTTCAAGTATAAAGCGTCTTGACTGAACAAAATTACAAGTGTATTTTGTGTAGGCCAACTTAATTAATAATTGACGCTTTTTACGGTTAGTTTTTTAACTATATTTAACAATAGAATATATGTACACGTAGTGTACAGGAGTACCAACAAAGTGACGACTAGAAATCGACTGTAACTCGACTTTTTTAGTCAAATTTAACTCGTAAATTGTCGTTCCCGACCCCGACTTTGAGCTGTGAATGTTTACCACTTTTGGACGAGAAATGTCAGGTCGGCGACAGGCCAACTTTCATGTTGAAAAAAATCAACCTGTTGGTCCAAGTTTGTGACTATTTAAAAACTGGGATAAAAAAACTGACTTTTTTCCTAGTTTGAAACAAGTTCAGAACTGGGTTGAAAAAGTTGATTTTTAAAAGTCGACTTTTAAAATAAATCTTAGCGAAAAACTTGTGAAAAATCTACTTTTAAATACCAGTTCTAATCTAGGCAACGACTTTTCGTTCCGAGTTTGTAACAAGCTCAAAACTGGGATGAAAAATTCGACGCTTTTTACTACTTTTTAATCAAAGTTTGTCGACTAGTTATCAAAATTCGATTTATATCCGACTTTAAGTCGACTTATATCCAACCTTATAGTCGACTTTTTCTGAAACTAATTTTAAAATAGTATTCTATTCTATACGAGTTATGTTCGCAGAGAAAGCTACCTACAACAAAGTACATCAGGATGTCTGTATCAACATAATTTCAGCCATAATCTTATCTCTAATTCAAAATCCATCAAAAAGTAGAGTGAACGATTTTATAAACCTTGATGTATAGACTATCATGGTCCAATAAAAAGTTTAAAATATAAAATAATAAAAATCTTAATGATTGATACAGAACCCTTAGTTCCTTAGTTTACCGTGACAATAGATAATTAATAAGTTTATAATTGAATGGAACCAAAAATATAAATCATATTTTTTTTGAGGGTCACCCGTTTTTTTGTGTGCAATACTTTTACAATAATGTCTAACGCTTTTTGTTCCTAAACCTTTAACTTCGAAATTATTGTTTTCTGCCATTTTCGGTTATTCTCTTTTGACCAATATTTACATAAAAGTTCATAAGATAATCATATTTCATTGATCTTTGATTTTATTCCTTACTAGCTGAAGGGCCCGGCGTTGCCCCTGGAAAAAAAATTTGAAAAAATGAAAAAAAAAGTTGAAATAAAATTCGATTTTTTTAGTCTATAACACCCCCGGCCACGACGCATGAGTGTCCACAAAAAATGTCAGCCCATTCGGTCCAGCCTTTTGGCCGGCTATACGCAATATATAAATGAAAGTCTTGTTTTATTACATAGATCAAATTTGTATTTGCGTATAATGGTTGTTAATCTGGAGAAAACAAAATCAAACCTATTTTTAGTTTAGTGTTTATATTTCTGTTAACTGTTTATCCATAGCTTTGGTAACCACACTTGGTTCAACATTGTATAGAACTTTAATAAAAGAAGTTTTATTGATTGTTGTTTACTTGGCATTTTTTGCGATTTCGCGATTAAACTGAGGCTGGTGGTCGTTAGAGGAGTCGATACGGAGGCCCGTCCCGGGTTCAGTACCAAGTCTACCCCGGAGCAAACACGTCCTCGAGTCAGCCTCTTAACCAAAAACTAAACTAAATCTCTTCTAAAAAAACTTTAAAACCTATAGAACATTTACCTAGTTAATTCTCTGTGCTTAAAGTGGGTCCCAGAGGCTGGAACTGAGTAAAGATGAAGGTTTGGCGCGGTTCAACCCTTCTCCTGTTCCTGTTCCCAGTATGCGGGCTTGGAACTGAACTATGCCAAGATAAGGTTCCAAAGTTTAAGGAGAGTATACCTGAAGTAACCACTATACAGGCTGGCCAGATTGCTTATCTAACATGTCAAATATTCTGCGTTAACAACAGGTATTTTTAAATTATAGAAACCTGGTGAAATAGTCATAACTTTTTACAACAAAATTGAATTTTCATTCATTCACAATATACGTTTTTCCAAATTTGTTTGTCGGTAGGGATGCAATGTAGAAAATAAAGTTCAGATAATTTTTTAAAGATCGACACGCCAATTTTATCAATGTTCACCTTATGGAATGCGAATTTGTAACATATGATCATGAGAACACAGTAAATAATTCTTTGTTAAGAAATAATTTTAAAAAGTGCCAAATTTTTCCCTGAATCAAAATAAAGGAATCGCGTGTTTGTCACAAATTCGAATTTTCTAATCCCTATACTTTGTAACCTGATGGTGTAAACTTTCGTTATTTCAAACTTAAATAGTTTAGTTCAACAAAATCAGAGTTGCGACTAAGGGTTGCGACTTTGGGTTGTGAAGATATTGGGATTGAAAATCAGAGTTTGTGGCTAAGACTCAATTCATTTGGTTTTAATTTGAAACGATAATGCTTCTTAAATTTGCGTTTTCTGAGATAATTTCACGTATATATCCCATTAAGAATGAAAAAGTAGGTTAAATAGGTTATTAAGATAAGACGTGAATGTGATGCATTTTTTAATATTTGAATATTGAAGTTATCCAGATTGATATTGATTGGAAAATGCACTCAGTACTATTTCTACAGCTAGACCACATGACCAGGTCCTGTAGAATTTGGTAGATCTACGAATAATCTACTTTTTTATATTTAAATTTACTATAAACATACTAAAATGTGTCCTCTGGGCCCTATCCCAAGTAGGGGTTCCAATCGTAGTTGCGTTAAGATGGAATTGTGCGGAATTGTGCGCAGAACAACGAAGTTTTATTCTATTCATCTATTTTTTATAAACGCCACTAAAAAACGTCATTCCCAATATCTGATTGAAGAATAACACAGATTGAGCAGAATGTAAGTACAAACAAATATTCTACTATACTTTATACCACATTCAAAGGTTAATTTTACTAAATACACTCTAAAGATGTCTAGATAAAAATTTATCAATTATTTCTTAATGTCATGAATTTATGTAAGTTTGAATATAATAATAAACAACCTTAGAAGTCTTAAACTTAAAGTTATGTGATTAAATCGTCGCATTTCAAATCTCTATTTTAGTCTAACGATATTCCAACAATTTCTTTTCTATTTCACATAAAACTTTAAGATGTATTACAATATGGATTTTATGCTTTCGGAAAATGACCATTCTAGACTTTTATGCAAATCTGTAGAAATAATAAGGGAATATTAAAATCTTTTCTTTTCTCCAAAACTTATTGATTTTTAAAACCAATAACTGAAGGAAAACATCATTTTTTTCAAAACAGAAAAATCGTGACATCAAATCATGATCATATTAATAATGATTGTATAAATCATGATCGTATAAATCATGATAGTATAAATCATGATCGTATAAATCATGACCATATAAATCATGGTCGTATAAATCATGATCGTATAAATCATGATTGTATAAATCATGATCCTTTAAATCATGATCGAATAAATCATGACCGTATAAATCATGATTGTATAAATCATGATCGTATAAATCATGATCGTATAAATCAAGATCGTATAAATCATGACCGTATAAATCATGATCGTATAAATCATGACCGTATAAATCATGATCGTATAAATCATGATCGTATAAATCATGATCGTATAAATCATGATTGTATAAATCATGATCGTATAAATCATGATTGTATAAATCATGACCGTATAAATCATGATTGTATAAATCATGATCGTATAAATCATGATCGTATAAATCATGACCGTATACATCATGATTGTATAAATCATGACCGTATAAATCATGATCGTATAAATAATGATTGTATAAATCATGATCGTACAAATCATGATCGGTATACAGGAATCTGTCGAGGGGGTGCTAACATAAAGTTCTTGAAAATCCAGTTTGGAGCTCACGTCCCTGTAAATTATTTTGTTTTTCACTTCTCAAGCACGGGCAGCCGTAGTACATTTGAATTTCCGAGCCGAGGCATCCTTTCCGGTCCCAGTTTGTGCTGTACCCAGCTCTATGGACAGGAATAGCCGGTGCAACAAGGTTGACGCGGTCAGACATTATGCTTAACATACTTTTACTAAGGGGTAGTGGTGCGTGCAAGCCCTTAATACTCCCCTCCCCCCTTGTATTCGCCCTGTCTTTTATACTATAAAGCATATAATCAAATTACCCATCCTGCAAAGATGGCAATTCCAAATCCAAAACAGTACCTGCCCTGAAACCTTTATCTGATCCAAGGTTATAATGCAAGGAAAGTTATTTTAGAGATGTACGCATTTTTTGTACTACAGTGTTCTGTCTTTGGGCGGAAAAGTTAAACACAAGACGGATGCCACAGCCTGACATGGAATCAATTTTCATATGAAACTATATGAAACTATTACATGAATTTTCAAAATTATCAGAATTTAATGCTTTTATCCTCCTCGGATACCAGACGAACACTGATGCATCTATTCTTGTTTGCAAATTTCGCCCAGAGAGAACTGGTTTCAATATGTACGCAGAGTATACGCAATCGAAATTAACTTTCCTTGCATTAGTACCTTGATCTGATCAAAACTATGTAATTCATACTTGATTAGAGAAAGCTTTTCAGGGTATAACGGTTGTGACTCAGACTTTGCCATTTTTCCAGTGGTCACTCAAAACAGTCTCTTTAACTTAAAAAAAAATTTTAATAAATATTTAATTGATTACAGAAAAATGCACGTGCAAGGGACCGGGAGGGGAAGGGGGGGAGGGTGGACTGCAGGGTTCAGTACCCAACGTTCATGTATTTGTATATGAATTGTAATGATAGTTAACAAAATGTAATTAATGATAAAAAAAATGACTAATGATACAACCTGATTATTAATGATATGCTAAGATATGATAATTAATGTTACAAATAACAAATAACCTTTGAAGCAAATAATAAATGCTAAAAAATATTATGACCTCAGGCTCCCTCCCCCTGACAATTAATTAAAAATTGAAATTTAACATTTTCAATTTTTTAGGGCGCGCAATTGTTTGCTGGGGACAGATAGGGGGATTATTAGGGATATTTTACATCTAACAAAAAGTTAGATATAACTAATATTACATTCCTGACCAATTAGTGTGTTCTCTACCAGTGTACAGCTATGCTATCTTTTCATTGTTGTTTTTACCGGACTCAAACATGAAAACTGCAATTCAAAATTTAGTTTCATGACAGGTTCATATTGACAGGTTTTCAGATTTGCGAAATGGATTGTCCACCTTTTTAAAAATACACAAACTATCAAAATCATAACTGAGCCTAATTTGGCACTTAAAGGGACCCTAATGCACCTAGTTCCAAGTAAATATCTGAAGGGAATGTATACGTAGTTCCAAGTAACTATATAAAGGGACTGTACACGTAGTTCCAAGTAACTATATAAAGGGACTGTACACGTAGTTCCAAGTAACTATCTAAAGGAACTGTACACGTAGTTCCAAGTAACTATCTAAAAGGACTGTACATGTAGTTCCAAGTAACTATCTAAAGGGACTGTACATTTAGTTCCAAGTAACTATCTAAAGGGACTGAACATGTAGTTCCAAGTAACTATCTAAAGGGACTGAACATGTAGTTCCAAGTAACTATCTAAAGGGACTGAACATGTAGTTCCAAGTAACTATCTAAAGGGACTATACATGTAGTTCCAAGTAACTATCTAAAGGGACTGTACATGTAGTTCCAAGTAACTATCTAAAGGAACTGTACACGTAGTTCCACTCTATCTAAAGATAGAGTGGCATGTCAAGTTCAACCTTTGTCTGATCAATGAAATATAAATCCATTTTTGTTTGTTTTTCTAAAAACGGTTTTTTTGAGGTTTCTGTAAAAATGACCTGAAAAATAGGGAAATTATCAAAATTCCTTAGTATGAAGGATTGTTTTCAAAACATGTCGTTTCTTACGTCAATCCTGTAATATTCTACACTTTAGAAAGATTAATTTATCAACGTTTCTTTTCTTCCTCCTCTATATGAATAATGAATACATGAGCATATACCTGAATCTTCCAAACTAATTTATTCATTTTCATCTTCTTAACATATTCTTCTTTAAAACATTATGGTCGACTTAATGGCATTGTGGTTAGGCCAGCATAGAAGTCGTATAGAATAGATAAAAATAAATAATTTAGAAAAATTCATGATGGTTTTTTTGTTTAACCCTATTCCCGTTGGGGGGGGGGGGGGGGGGTTCAATTTGACCCACCCCTGTAGTTTTTTTTACATAACTCAAAAAGTATTGGTCTGAGGCTGTTGAAATTTTCTGACTTTTCTTACATACCCAAAGCCCTCCCTTTAGGCCTAAAACCGGGCTTTAATACTAACTGCCTGAGTCCTCAGGCATACTGCCTGAATGACTGCTTTTGCCTGTAACAAACTAAATCTTTGTTTTGACCCACTTTCACTTATCAGATTTTGATAAAATTTAGCTTTTTGGAAAGCCTATGACATAAGAAAACGGATTGCACAAGTTTTGTGAAAAAAAATTGCAAATTTTTTGCAAACAACCTGTCAAAGGAAATTTGCATATTTTTAGTTTTTCTTGATTAAAAATCAGGTTATTTAAAATTTTGCAAAAATTTTTGCATATTTAAAATGGCATGGTCAAGGGCTTTTCAAAAATGTATAATTTGTCATTTTTTTGGCAAATTTTTTTTGCAAACATTTTTACTATAAAACTGGATTTTGCGATAAAAAATTCAATTTTCGCAAATTTGCAAATTTTTTTGCAGATTCTAAAAGTAAGTCTTGACTTTTAGATCTTAGTTTCTGAATCTTGACTTTTAGATCTTAGTTTCTTTATCTTGACTTTTAGATCTTAGTTTCTTAATCTTGACTTTTAGATCTCAGTTTCTTAATCTTGACCCCTCCCAGCGTATCCTGGT